CCCCAATGTTCTCCTCACGACAACGCGCTCCGGGCCACGCGGCCGCCTGAAGGCCTCGGGGAAAATCCCCGCGTCTGAGCGCCGAGAATTAAATAAAAGCCAACTCCTCAGGCAGCACCGAGCCGCCACAGAGCCGTCCCCGTGAGGAGAAATAGAAATAAATGAGGGATAATAGCACGGAACGCACCCGAAGCACACGACCTCCTCACCCACTCAGCGCCGCGCGCAAAATGGCCGAAGCATGGCTCGCCGCGCGCTTTTATAAGCCGCGGGGCATGCTGGGATCGGGCCGCACCGCGCGTGCGCGAGGAGAGGGAAAAGGGCGGGAAGAGCGAGGAGCATGCGCGGTGCGATGGCAATGGGGGGCGAGACTGCGTATGGAAATGAGGCGGAAAGGGGCGGGGAGAATAATGCAAATATGAACGGAGGCGGCCAATCAGATAGCGGCGGGGGCGGGGCGAGCGGCGTTGAGGCGGGGATAGCAGGAAGTGTGGGCGGGGATATGCAAATGAGCCCTGGGGAGGACGGGAAGCGCTGTAGCAGTAGGGAAGTTATGGGGCGCAACTCTGACCCCAAAATCCCCTCTGCGGCCTCAAAAATGGACCTGTTGGACCCCGAATCCGCCCCACAGCCGCCCCGCCGGCCCCAGTGCTGTGGGTGAGCAGGAGGGACCCCGATGTTGAGCAAATCGCACCATAAAACACCCAATGGGGACCAAAGGCAATGGAAAACGTCTTCAATCCAACCATGGGATGCCAAACACAACGGGATATGAGCACGTCCTTCAATAAACCACCAAATAATGACCAAATTTTGGGGGGTGTGTCTTCAACCCAACCATGGGATGTCAAACATTGGCCAAACCCAATGGGAAGTGACCACAACCTTGAGTAAAACAGCAAATAACCACCACATTTTGGGGGGTATGTCTTCAGTTCAACCATGGGATGCCAAATGTTGGCCAAATGCAATGGGAAATGACCACAACCCTCATGAAACATCAAATAAAGGCTAATTTTAGGGGATATGTCTTCAACCCAACCATGGGACGCTAAATGTTGGCCAAATGCAATGGGCCATGACCATGACCCTCAATTAGACACCAAATAACCACCAAATTGTGGGGGGTATGTCTTCAGTCCAACCATGGGACACCAAATGTTGGCCAAACCCAATGGGAAATGACCACATCCTTCAATAAATGACCAAATAAAAAGCAAACTTTGGGGGATATGTCTTCAGTTCAACCATGAGATACAAAATGTTGGCCAAACCCAATGGGATACAACCACAACCCTCAATAAATAACCAAATAATGACCAAATTTTTGGGGATGTGTCTTCAGTTCAACCATGGGACGCCAAATGTTGGCCAAACGCAATGGGAAATGACCACATCCCTCAACAAAACACCAAATAACCACCACATTTTGGGGGATATGTCTTCAACCCAACCATGAGATGCCAAATGTTGGCCAAACGCAATGGGAAATGACCACAACCCTCAACAAAATACCAAATAATGACCAAATTTTGGGAGGTATATCTTCAACCCAACCATGGGACACCAAATGTTGGCCAAACGCAATTGGGATATGAACACACCCTTCAATAAATGACCAAATAAAAAGCAAATTTTGGGGGATATGTCTTCAGTTCAACCATGGGACACCAAACGTTGGCGAAACCCAATGGGATACACCCACAACCCTCAACAAAGCACCAAATAACAACCAAATTGTTGGGGATATGTCTTCAGTTCAACCATGGGACACCAAACGTTGGCCAAACCCAACGGGCTACGACCACAACCCTCAACAAAACACCAAACGAGCACCAAATTTTTTCGGAGATACGTCTTCCATCCAAATCATAACACCCAACCTTGACCCAAACCCAATGAGAGACGGACAGGAGACCCCCAAAACCTCCCTGTTTTACAACAGGAAGAGTAGGGAATATTCGGGTCGGACCCGACGCCGCGTCGCCCGCCCGGCGCGACCGATCACCGGCAGCTTCTGCGCGTAGCGCGCCGCCACGTGGCCCGGTGAATGGTGCTGCCCAAAAACGGTCTGGAAACGCCTGCCGTGACACCGACGTCCCGTTTGCCTCCCGGCGATGAGAAAAGCGAAACGGGGGGGTCCGCGGGGGGAGAACCGGCATTTTTGGAAGACGTCCCGGATCCCCAAACGGTGAACGGGAGGACGAGTCGTGCCGGCACCGCCGCGGATGCCGCGGGGAAACGCCGGCGATGGGCGGTGAGGTGTCGGACGTGGGGGGTCATCCGGAGGGGGGCTGGAGCTGGCTGTTAATTGAGGCATTTTCCGGGTGGACCCCCCCCCACCCGTATCGCTTCCGTAAGGTTCTTTTTCA